GGGGGGGAGTGAAGGAGTATACATTAACAGTTCACATTAACAGTAGTATCCTAAGCAGGCTTGCACCTTTCTAAGCCCACTGACTTCACTGGGCTCAGAATAATATATCTCTGCTTAGGACGGCACTACAGCCCAGCTTACTGTGTCTCCCTAGACACCCAATTTGAGAGTATTTCTACATATATAAAACACAAATTCTACCACTGAGTTATGGTTACCATCTCTTCTGTAATTAATTGATACTAGGTATTTTGACAAATGAAAAACTATTCAAAAAGACACAGCAAAATCAACAAAGGAATTCAGTTTTAAGCATTTTAATCCTTATATTCAATGCCATTATGATTTCTTAAGAACACATTTCTGTATGTAGTTCACAAGCTCAAGGAAAAGCCACATGAAATATCAAAACAAACCTTTACAAATGCACAGAAGGTTCTAGAAAAGTACTGTCATAATATGTGGCATTAGGAACTTCGCTCACTTTCAAAGTATGAAGCAAATAACTGTATTTTATGTCTGACAAAGACTTCAACAAAGCCAAGATTTTTCTTGCTGGGAACTAGCTGCCCTTGGCAGTTACTATTCCAAATCTATTTAACAGCTCCTTTCTTTGATTAGAAATACATTTATTCATATTGACTTATTGCAATTCAGCAAACTTCCCCAAATCCTTAGAAGGACCCGGTTTCAGAAAAGCACTTAGCCACATGACTGGAAGTGAAATCTAAACTTGTTGCTAACTAAGCCAAGCATTCTCAAATTACTGTGAAAAATCCAACAGGATTTGTTTCTAAATTACATACTAATTGAAGAATTTTATCCCAGCAAGAAAATAGTTGGGTAAATAGCAATTCCATATCCAAAATGTCTATAAACCTAGGAGTTTACTGACTGCAAAAGGCAGCCCTTTTATTTATATTGTCTGAACAATCTGATTCCATCTGAAGTAGCTACAGGTTACTATAGTCCCATTCTGTTTTCACCAAACACTTGCAGAGAGTCAGGTACTTTTTAGTAAAGCCAAAACTGTGTGGATTCATGCTAGCAGCAGTCAGTCAATTTCAGATGGTACAGTAAATAAAGGATTTTCCAATAAACAATTCTGGGTTATAAATTAGATTTATAAAAGTAGCTAGATAACAGGAATCTTGTCTACTGAGCTTATACAAAAATATCATCTCTTGAGTACGTGTACCATTTAAATCATTTTAACAGCAACCTAACAAAACATGACCTTGCTCCTATTTTAAGAGATGCTGCACCAGCAAATAAACGTGCGGCTGAAGGATAATGGTTGGTGTACCAGCAACATGCCAAACCCACTGGACTGGACTGAATTTGCAATTAAAGCCCTTCTTAATTATCCCAAACCAAGGGTAGATCAGAAAAATTCAGGATTAACTTTTTTGAACATCTCTCTTTGGTGTATTCTGGACATAACAGAATCTCTGTATTTTTGTTTCTCGTAGGATAGTGGTCAAATCACAGAAAATGCAAAGAAGATGGGCAGAACTGAAAAAAGTTTTATTCCCATTATTCATAACTTACTGGGTGTGTATGCTATATATATGTATTTAAAATACCAGACTGAGTTCCACAAGCTGTTACAGGAACTGTAGGAGCAGAGCATGCTTGCAAGAGCCCACAATGAAGCTCATTATGATGCACACAAACACACTGAATCACTTGTGACAAGCCAGTGCAGCGCAATACAAAACACTCAGTTATGTGTTTGCAGCTGTTGTGCGGGGGGGGGGGGGGGGGAGAGATTATGCCTTTTTTTTTTTTGCTAGCAGGCATCAAGTATGAATGCCATCTTTGTCAACAGTGATCAAAGACCACAACACTGATCAGTTGCTTAGTGCTTTCTGCAAAAATCAATTACACTTCTCTCCCCACCCCAAGACGATCATTTCTTCATGCAAACTGGAATCTCTACTGAACTAAGAAACATTTGGAATTATCTCTGACACATCACGAGCTGTACTAGACTGCAAGTTTGTGGGGACATGATCATATTACTAGGGCTCCTCTGGTATTCAATAAACAGTGGTGAAGGAACAATGACAACTGAAGGCACAGCCAGACTACAGGGTCCTACACTCAATCCCAAATTCTGTGAGGCACAACCTATAGAACATGGGAAGGTAGATTTAGATGAAAGTGCAAACAAGTCCAATCAGGTTTATTCCTAAATAAGGTTGTGTAGGAGAATAATTAACGTGTCCTGGTTTAAAGATGGCAAAGCTTAAAAATAGCTGCTGTTTAGTGAGATATTTTTACTACTTTTTTGCTGACAGCAGGAAAAACCACATTTTAGTGTGGACATTCATTATCACATCTTGTATTTCTTTAAACTTCTTTTAATATAAGCCATGGGAGTATTGTTCACCCTGAACTGGATCAGGACCACAGCATTTGAGAAGCAGGGATTTAACCTTTCTCCCAATGCTATTTTCCCAGTGAAAATCCACCCCGCCCCCCCATCTAGCCTCCTAGCAACCTTCACAGGGAAAACATATTGGTACCTGTGTGCGCGTTACATACTGTAAAGTTACTTATGGCAACCCTGTGAAGTAAAGTCCTCCAAAACAACCAGCCTAGCTCAGGTCTTGCAAGCCATGGCTTCCTTTGTTGAGTCAATCTATCTCATGTTGGTTCTTCCTCTTTTCCTAGTGCCTTCTACTTTTCCTAGCATTACTGTCTTTTCTGGTGAGTCCTCATGCTATGATAGCCCCAGTTTGGTTATTTTAGCTTCCAGGGAGAATTCAGGCTTGATTTAATCTAGGATCTACTTATCTGTCTTTGTGGTGGTCCATGATCTCCATAAAACTTCTCCAGCACCACTGATACATGTACATATTCCCTAAGGGGTAAATAGCAGCTCTGGAGATTTAAATCACGGTGTGTGTTTATGTGTGGGCACAGGGAACATTGAAAACACACACAACAACCCTTCTCCAGCACCACAGTTTCTAGGGAAAATCACGAAGTGTGTTTATGTGTGGGCACCGGGAACATTGAAAACACACACAACCCTTCTCCAGCACCACAGTTTCTAGACATGCTTCACTCATTTCACTCGTCTGCAGACAGTATGCGGAGCTGAGCTTGAACCCTGCTCATTTAAAATGTAGTTTTTGTATCATAGGGAAATTTTCTCTTACCTGATAGAATTCACCTGCTTGGCGTACATAGCCAGCTACATCTGGATCTGCAGGACGTACTTTCCATACAACTCTCTCGGCATTTTTGTACTCCTCCACTTTGGCCCACGGCACCGTAGGCAAAAAACGCTCTGTCAGTGGGGCTGCTACAATGATGTCAAGTTGTCCATTGTATAAAAGAACCTGGAAAACAGACACACGTTAGCAACACACAAGACAATTGCAACATTTGGATAAACAGAGGCCAAGCAAGCAAGGTTTTAGATCTGACCAATCCACCCAAAGAATAAATTTATTTTATTTACTTTTGTTTCTACCCCACTTTCCTCCCTGATGGAGACTCAAAGTGGCTTACAATATTCTCCTCTTCTCCATTTTATCCTCACAACAACCCTGTGAGGTAGGTTAGGCTGAGAGTGTGTCACTGGCCCAAGGTCACCCAGTAAGCTTCTGTGGCATGGAGGGGGGGGGGGTTGAACCTGGGTCTTTCAACACTCTAACCACTATACCAGGGGTGTCAAACTCATTTGTTATGAGGGCCGGATTTGACATAAATGAGACCTTGTTGGGCCAGGCCATGTGTGTCATACAATGTAATGCCAGGTAGCGGAAATATAAACTTTATAAAGGACACAAACACAAAGGATTTTTTTTACTTAAAATAAAAAAATGCTTAAAATTAGCACTCCTGCAATATTTTATTTAACAGTGTCTGATAACTGACACCTCTTGCTCTGAATTATTGCATCAAACTGTACTGTTGCAGTCTTGAGTATGCTGTTCAGGTGCATATCTGTAAGCTGCAAACCTACAATGACGCAGCAGCAGCAGAACTGGAAGAAGAAGCAGAAGACAGCCAAGTTCCACTGCGGGCCTGACAGAAGCCCTCCGGGGGCCTGATCTGGGCCCCCGGACGCATGTTTGACACCCCTGCACTATACTATGCTGCCTCTCTGTGATCTATAAAACAGTAAAAAACTAGAATGGAGAATAATGCAGTATGAGGTATAGCATACATTCTAAGCTTGGAAGACAGCTATCCAACAGCTACTGAAGCTGAAACAGACAAGCAGAAGCCCCAGTGGTCTACTTGTTGCTGAGATGCATCATTTCAGGCGGTAGCAAGGAATTCAAAGAGGACTGAACCAGAGCACACCTCTCCATTTGGAACTCCCCTTCTTTCACCCATATCCACTTCAATCATGCCCCTCCCATCAATACAAAGTGAGGAAAATGACATACGTGAAGCACAATTTTGACTCAGTGATGCCATCTATTTGGTACTGTGACATTATCATGTCCACAACACAACCCCTTACTGGATGGACTCACATTGCGAGGAAAAAGCCCAATTGGAAAGACAGTGCTGAAGAAACTTCCACAAGAGGCAATGAACAAGCACAAAACAGTAGGCTGGGGAAAGCATGACCGAGAGAAGCATCTCAGGTTCTCCTACTGGCCCCATTTTGGTCAAAAGTATTTGGCATAGCCCTTCAATCAAATATTTGAATGATATTCTACATAAAGTCTTCCATAATAACAACAACAACAATAATAATTATGGGCTGTCAAGACACAACAGACTTACGGTGACTCCCCCTGGCATTTTCAAGGCAAGAGATGAGTACAGGTGGTTTGATATTGCCTTTCTTTGCATAGCCAACCCTGGTCTTCCTTGCTGGTCTCTCATTCAAGTACTAACTCTGGTCAACCCTCATTAGGCTGCAAACTCTCACAAGCTCAAACTAGTCTGAGCCATTTGGGCTGTTCATACACATACAAAAAAATGATTAGAAGGTAAAGGCTAGTTCAGAACCTTTCCCCCCAACATGCAAGCTTTGCTTGTGTGCACAAGGGGCATTTGGCATAAGGGGAACCTTTCAGACTTCTAAGCTGAAGTGTTACATCCCAGAAACAGCTAGTGACGCTTCCACTCATTTAACTTTTCCCCCGCCAATATTTTTTTTCTAAGCCTTTGGCTTTCATTGGCCCAACAAACTGAGAAAGCACACTTTTCATTAAAAATAAAAACATGGTAGCAATTGGGTTATGGAAATATATGAAGTAGACGTTCACTTAAAACACAATACTACCTCTCCATGTATTTTAGGTGGCTTAAAACAATAACAAAAATTTAAAATAAAAATGCAATGAAAATAATACAACAAATGTAATTTTAGTAGCAACAGTAAAAAAAAAAAAATTCAGGACATCCAGTAGCTAGACTAGCAACTTTAAGTGCAATTCACCAAGCACTACTGCCAAGGAGCATCTGTTCTTGGCCTGTGCCACATATGGGGGGAAAAGGGCACCACCAAAATGCCCCACAGCCTGTTGTGGTAGATTCTACCAGAAATTTGAGCTTTATATCTGGCTCAGTGAATGGAAAAGAAAGGTTCTGAATAAAGACTCTATTAGTATGCAGTGCATATTGCTTAAAAGAAAGGGGAGGGGAGGAAGATAACAAGGAGAATCTGTTATTGGTGCAGAAACGTCTCATATCAAACAAACCTGGTTTAAAAAATATATTTGAAAGCTGCAAGATCAATGCACAGTTGGAATGTGAAAGAACAGAATTTTTTTTAAACCAAAAAGCTCTTCTGTTTATGATTGTCCCTCCTCCATTTTGCACTCAGTTACTCAAGGACCAAGTTATGGTTCTATGAACTAATGACTGTTCAGGAGCACAAACAAAAATCAGCACTAAGAAAATCAAATACAATTAAGGCAATGATTGTTTACTTAAAACACAATACTACCTCTCCATGTGTTTTAGGTGGCTTAAAACAATAACAAAAATTTAAAATAAAAATTCAATGAAAATAATACAACAAATGTAATTTTAGTAGCAACAGTAAAAAAAAAAAAATTCAGGACATCCAGTAGCTAGACTAGCAACTTTAAGTGCAATTCACCAAGCACTACTGCCAAGGAGCATCTGTTCTTGGCCTGTGCCACATATGGGGGGAAAAGGGCACCACCAAAATGCCCCACAGCCTGTTGTGGTAGATTCTACCAGAAATTTGAGCTTTATATCTGGCTCAGTGAATGGAAAAGAAAGGTTCTGAATAAAGACTCTATTAGTATGCAGTGCATATTGCTTAAAAGAAAGGGGAGGGGAGGAAGATAACAAGGAGAATCTGTTATTGGTGCAGAAACGTCTCATATCAAACAAACCTGGTTTAAGTTTCCCTTTAAAGCCCACACCCAAATAGCATATATGTTTTGTATCAGTCAGGATCTAACAGCAGACTCTTAGGGCTCAAGCCAAGATGGAACTCTTTGTATGGCTGTGATACACACATGTTTCCTATGAGCTATTAATTCTTTGTTACTAAAAAATCCTGGTGGGGTTAAAAGCCTTTTCTGTAAGACTCACCCAAGCTAGCTCAAATAAAATAATTGCACTGTTTATATGAAGGAGCTATGCCTCAAAGACCTTGATTCTCCATAGCCTCTGCAAAATTTCCTGCAGCTGTTACACTCCACAGTATGGGAATAATTAACATAAGAATAGACACAGCATAGTAAAAAAACAGCACCGCCCCAGTTGGTGAGGCAAAACACCCTCACTTTTACAATCCTACTAGCATCATGTAACTGGCACTGCTTATTCAGACTAGCTACTCTTTTCTGATAAGTTTTTAATATGCTGTAGTTTCATGAAGATGGTCAAACACATACATGCGAACAAATGACATTAAAAAAGGACAGAGGTCTGTCAGGCTTCAATTCTTTTATGAGTTAATGGTGACACTTGACAGTTCTTGTGAAATAACCAGCAAACTACCCATGAAGTCTCATTTTTATTAGTTGCCTCATCATAGCATGCAGTTGTAAGTGCCTGGTGTCAGCTCCATGTAAAAGCACTGCAGGGGCCAGATTCAGATTGGGAATGCAGAGGAAGATTCAGATTGGGAATGTTGTAGCCTCCCCACCCCCACACTACTGTTTCCCAAGCCAAAATGGCCTGAAAAGGCAAATAACACTTCTAGGCCATTTCAGCTTCAGAAAACAGTACTGAACCTTTCCTTCCCCCATGCCATGGTCCTGATCCAAACTGAGTCCCTGCAATACTTTTACGCAAAAGCTGCCAACTGGGACTTGCAGCTGCAGTATGGCAAGTCCCCATAGTGAACTCATGTAATATATAATGTGTTTGGCCCTCAAAGAGAGGGAAAAAATATCTTGAACTTAAGAACTCCAAGTATACACTGTACTGGAGACAGTCTGTCAATTCATTCAGCATAGTGCTTTGTTGTTGTTGTTTTTTTGGGGGGAATAATATGCCCAATAAGAGTGCACCATTTACAATAATGGTTCTTTTTCTGGGGGTGGGGTAGGGGGTTGGGATATGTTTCAAGAATTGGTCTATGCGATCAATGAGAAACAACTCTAACATCTTACCATTTATAACTCTGGGCCCAAAGTGGACCCCCTGTTCCTTATGCCTACAAGGGTATCAATAACATGACTGTTTTCAGTGACCATCTCACCTTGGGTATGACACTAACCATGACATGATATTGGGTCTCTAAATGGAACTCGTGCTTGAATCTTAGAAAACAACACAAATATTCTCTTAAGGGAGCACTTATAGAACTTTACATAAGTTTTGAATGCATGTAGACTCAATGTGTGGAGGGGCAGCCATTTTACACCCATGTTCCTTGCTTTTCATGATTCGTAGTGCCATTCTAAGCAGAGAGACACCCTTGTAGGCCCATTGTCTCCTCCGTCAGACACCAACATAGACTGTATGAACAGAAAAGAACAGAAGTTGAGAGCCAAGTCTACACACATCAAACTCAGACGTTAATCACATAGTTGTGGCTGTGTCATATAAGGATGGCCATCTTCACTGGCGATTACCAGCAACTTTTATTCAGATAAATTCTAATCAGAAAACCCGAATATCAGTTATGCATTGCAAATGAATGCTGTCATAACAATGCCTAAGAGGGAAGCGTCCATTTTATCACCTGTTAACTTACTACGGACACATCCCCAATTAGATAGTGAAGCAGGAGAAGTATTGTTACAATTCTGACATGCTGCAAATTAAAATAATCTGTACTGAAAATGTTACAGTGAGGAATGAAAGAAGTCCGCAAATATAGTGCAATTGTTAACATAACACAAATTAATGTAAAAACAGAAACAGATACAGCACTTATTTGGGC